CACTCAGTATTTGTACATTCCCCTTGTATCGTGTACAGTCTTAAGTTCTCAAAACGTTTGTGTTATCAACGTGTTCATATTTTAGCATGTTTAAACATGGGTACATAGCGTGACATGTGAGCCCGTTTCATGTGTATTAACTTAACCTGTTCAGATCAAACTCGCAATACTTTGTTCCGTTTAGGACAAAAACCCAATTCTAAACACATCTGATCCCGCGACATATGCTTACAGTGTATTCCTAAAGTGGACATTGCATATGTGACACTATGAAGTGCATGTCATCGTATCCCAATTGCCTAGATCAAAGTTGATGATGTTCATTGCTTGAGTGTCAGGTCAGACTGCCGTTTGAGCGTCCGCCACGAGTGCGGAAGGTCCTGGGTTCGATTCCCGGCCGCGTCATACTAAAAGACGTTAAAGGATGGTACTTGTTGTTACCCTGTCTGGTGCTCGGCATTAAGGGGCTAAAACTAGGACTGGTCGGCTCGGAGTTAGTATACTGTCTCTGAGTGGGGTATTCATGTTAATCTGCGGCATGGTATCTCAGTGGGCTAGCACTATGAATCGACATCAGTCCGGACTAGTACAAGCAACCACACGCACACACGTGTATGCACTTCACTATATAAGGGCAAAAATGGACGCGACGTTAAACCCCATTCACCTCACCTCACTATGACGAGCGTTTCATAAATTCAGTAATATTATGATTTTTTTTAATATTCATCTCATGCATATTTGACATTCTGATATTATTACAATTTATTCCAAACCCGGGAAACCAAAACCTATATATTGTCCTCAAATAATATTAACTTATGCATTATGAGAAGAGCTATTCACATCGGCATTGATCAGTGACAAGGGGCCATCTAACCACGGTTATGACCTTGAGTTCAGTACAGAGTGCGGGGGTCCAATTTACTCCCCGGTAATCCGGGTTTTCCGGTCAGCAGGGGGGCCGGAGGGGGATTAAATCAGGGACGTCATTGATTAGAAAGCCACACTGAGCCAGCGTCCACGACGTGAACATCGTCGTTAGGTCAAGAGTAATCTGACCAGGGCGATGAAAAAGGCGCCAAAACGCACGCGGTAAGGAATGAATTAATTGTATCATGTATTTGATAGATATATATTACGGCCATGAGACAAAGGTTCCGTTAATATCATGATGTGTTTTGGCGAATCGTTCAATTCACAGCATAAGTCGGGGGTATACTCAGCTATGTATACGTGATCATATCACGTTCGTTACTGGAACTGCTCTGTGGACACTTTCTGTGAACACGTTTCTAGATAGAGCTTTTGTTTAGCACACGAATATGGACAACGCTTGGAAATAACCAGTGTTGAATCATTCTGTTTAATTAATCTACTTAGTTTAAACGTTAATAACAAACCAAGCTCCCCAAATAGAAGCTCAAGCGCTGGTGGTAATCACGTTATAAGTTTGAGCAAGCCTGTGTGAGTGGTCGGGTAGTCTAGTGGTTAAAGTCTTCGCTCGTCACGCCGAACATCCCGGTTCGATTCCCAACGTGGGCACAGTGTGTGAAGCCCCTGCCGCGATATAGCTGGAATTTTACTAAATTTATAATCGGCGTCCAAACACAACTCATCCGATCACAACAAATGTGTAAGCTGTTGTTACCGTGTACTATTAAATTAAAGCGAGAGGTTGTCGGTAGTATTACAGAAATGCACTGTGTCTCATTGTAATGCTGTAACACTGCATGCCACACAGCATTTCCTACATAAAATACTATAACATTGGACTCAGGAGAGATGCACTATTTCTCCCTGTACCAAAGCAACCTGAAGGTATGTATATTTCTCCATGCATTTCTGTAACACTGTTCCTTAGAGCGGTGCACTATTTCTCCATGTACCAATGCACTCTGGAGCTATGTATTATTTCTCCATGTAATTCTGTAACACTGTCCTCTGGAGCGGTGCATTATTCATCCATGTACCAATGTACTCTGGAACTATGTGTTATTTCTCCATGTAATTCTGTGACACTGCTCTCAGAGCCATGTATTATTGCTCGATGTATTTCTGTAAGACTGTTCTCAGAGCTATGTATACTTCTCCATGTACCAATGTATTCTGGAACTATGTGTTATTTCTCCATGTAATTATGTGACACTGCTCTCAGAGCTTTGTGTTATTTCTCCATGTACCAATGTACTCTGGAACTATGTGTTATTTCTCCATGTAATTCTGTGACACTGCTCTCAGAGCTATGTATTATTTCTCCACGTGCCAATGTACTCTGGAGCTATGTGTTATTTCTCTATGTTATTCTGTGACACTGCTCTCAGAGCTATGTATATTTCTCCATGTATTTCTGTAACACTGTTCTCTAGAGCTGTGCACTATTTCTCCATGCACCAATGTACTGTGGAACTATGTGTTATTTCTCCATTTAATTCTGTAACGCTGCTCTCAGAGCTATGTATATTTCTCCATGTAATTCTGTGACACTGCTCTCAGAGCTATGTATATTTCTCCATGTATTCTGTAACACTGTTCTCTAGAGCGTTGCACTATTTCTCCATGTACCAATGTAACATGGCGCGTGTGTGTATCTCATGGTCTCACGTGTCAACACCACCTCCTACAGAAGAGTGCTGATCCTCGCGTATGTCCACCAACATTAGGGATGTGAATAAATATCATATTACAGGATTTAATGGACCGACAGGGATTCCTCCTCCAGTACTGACACTGACCACTGACATTTCCACTTATGTCAGTTCATAAGGCAACAACATGCTACAACCGTAGTTGGACGAGGTGAGATAATGTTACACAGCCGAGGAAGGACTTAAGTCAAGTCATATTATATCGAGAATGTCTGGAGACTACTCAGTCACGTCGTACACAATGTTGAAATCATCAAAACCTCACGTCATACACAATGTTGAAATCATCAAAACTTCACGTCATACACACTATTGAAATCATCAAAACCTCGCGTCATACACAATGTGGAAATCATCAAAACCTCACGTCATACACAATGTTGAAATCAACAAAACCTCACGTCATACATAATGTTGAAATCATCAAAACCTCACGTCATACATAATGTTGAAATCATCAAAACCTCACGTCATACACACTGTTGAAGTCATCAAAACCTCACGTGATACATAATATTGAAATCATCAAAACCTCACGTCATACATAATGTTGAAATCATCAAAACCTCACGTCATACATAATGTTGAAATCATCAAAACCTCACGTCATACACACTGTTGAAGTCATCAAAACCTCACGTGATACACGATGTGGATATCATCAAAACATCACGTCATACATAATGTTGAAATCATCAAAACCTCACGTCATACACAATGTTAAAGTCATCAAAACCTCACGTCATACACACCGTTGAAATCGTCAAAATCTCACATCATACACGGTGTGAACTTCAATCAAAACCTCACTTCATACACAATGTTGAAATCATCAAAACCTCACGTCATACACAATGTAAATTTCATCAAAACCTCACGTCATACACACTGTTGAAATCATCAAAACCTCACGTCATACACAATGTTGAAATCATTAAACCCTCACATCATACACACTGTTGAAATCATCAAAATCTCACGTCATACACACTGTTGAAATCATCAAAACCTCACATCATACACACTGTTGAAATCATCGAAACCTCACGTGATACACGATGTGGATATCATCAAAACATCACGTCATACACGATGTGGATATCATCAAAAATATCACGTCATACACACTGTTGAAAATCGTCAAAACCTCACGTCATACACAATGTTGAAATCATCACATCCTCACGTCATACACAATGTTAAAATCAGCAAAACCTCACGTCATACACAATGTTGAAATCATCAAAACCTCACGTCATACGCAATGTTAAAATCATCAAAACCTCACGTCATACACAATGATGACTTCATCAAAAGTCACTCCATACACAATGTTAAAATCGTCAAAACCTCACGTCATACAGTGTTGAAATCATCAAAAGCTCACCTAGTAGATATTTTTTATTTTGAAATCATCAAAATTTTAGGTCGTACAAAAATAGCCAAAACCTAACATATTACGTCAATTTGAAATCACCCAACACCAGAGACGTAATACACCATGTTGAAATTATCAACAACCAGTGACGTAATACATCATGTTAAAACCATCAACAACCAGTGACGTAATACACCCTGTTGAAAAAGTGACCTTCTATAACATTGATAGGACGAGGCAGTAAATACTAAATACGCGATGTTTTTTCTGGTGTTATTTAATTATGGCATTGCTTCAGTTATAAGCCTTAAACTGCCCAGAGAGAATAATCCTTTAGTCGAGTCAAGATCCGTTGCTCGCTAGTACATGTGAGTGAGTGAGTTTGGTTTTACGCCGATTTTGGCAATATTCCAGCAATATCACGGCAGGGGACATCAGAAATTGACTTCACACATTGTACCCATGTCGGGAATCGAACCCGGGTCTTCGGCGTGACGAGCGAACGCTTTAACCACTAGGCCACCCGACCGCCCCAAGTACATGTATGAATCACACGAGGAGAAAAAAATTTGTATGACCGGCATGTATAATGGGCGTGAAGCAATGAAAATAAATCCTGAACTTAATTAAAAATAATTTAAAGTCAATTTAAAACGACGTCATCAAGTTGGGCGAATATATAGATATAGATGTGAAAGGTTTAATGTGTATGGAGTAGATTCAAAACACCAGAAAATGTTGTTTTTTGTCTCTTGTAAAATTTCGTACATTGCTTGATATACTGTGACATCATTGTACAGTCTGAATAATGGATAATGGCATTCCGAATACAATTTTCATATGGTCATCCATGACAAAATATCTTGGAAAATTTATCAACGTCAATATTCGGGGTAGTTTATGTCGAGCATAAATATGATATAATAAATATAAAAACAGTTCAGTGACAGAATATATCAATGAGTGCAACTTACCCTGTCCAGATGCTTGGAACAGGAACATCATCATCATCACCACGGTAGATATCCAGGAGTTTACCATGGAGCCCCACATGTTGCAGAGCCGTTATACAACACCTCTTGCAACACACACCAACAGGTAACCGTGCAACACACACCAACAAGTGATCTTGCAACACACACCAACAAGTGATCTTGCAACACACACCAAAATGTGATCTTCAACTCACGCCAAAATGTGATCTTGAACTCACGCCAAAACGTGATCTTGAACTCACACCAAACTGTGAGCTAGCAGCTCACACCAACACTGAGGACCTTCGACAACTTGAAGTATTCCCAACAGCTCCTCTCATACATATAACAGTAGCGAGAGTGTGTCTGTTACTACTATAACAGTATGTTATCCCGTGTCCTGGATAAAGCTCAAGGCTTCAGCGTGTTTGAGCGAAACCAATAACAATGACCAGTATTGAAATCCAACTTGTCTTTTTGCCACGACGCAATTCTGGATCATTAAGACCTTTGACTTTTCGTGTAAAGGCTGCTAGAATAAAATCACTGCTCTAATGCCTTCGTATGTAACGAGAAAGTCCCTGGGTTACTTTCTGAGACGCGTCTTGTGAAAAACATGATGTAAGCGCTACCCATCTCCTTACTGTTGATTGTATATCCTGTGCAGTCAGTATAATCGGTCTTCGATGCGGCAGAACGAGCTGCCTTCTCCTATGCAGTGATATCTAACAATTGTGATGGTCCCTAACACAACTTTCAAATTGGATTTATTGTCCACCGTTCTTCTGCAATTGGAACAGACGCTTTTGTAAGCCGGGTTCGTTGCCGCTGTTGATTGTGAACCGCCAACTGTTGTCTGTGGTTGACGAAACTCCAAACTCCAAGTACCTAGGTATCTTCTTTTTAAAGTCCAGGTTGTATATATTAGTGTCTCTTTATTAACTATGCACGCAGTCTATACCTGAACTAGTTCCACACAAATAAGGTATACGGTATCGTCAATATACAGCTGTCACTTAATCCATAGTATAGTGTACATATACCGCTTATATTCCCAGGGAATTGTATGATCTCTTAAATCACCGTGCGCACTGCCACCGCGTTGGTTCCGTTACTGGGCCGGTGATACAATGTGCTACGAAGTTTGTTATACTCCTCCATCAATATATGCTGCGGTCGTTAAAGCAGCACATCGCTTGACTTCAAAGCGTGGCAGTTGTCACTCGCTTCATCCCTCGAGTCTAAAGTCTCTTTCTCGTAGGTTGATGCTTGTTGCAGCCACTCAGTGCTGTATCCTGTGATACACGTGGGGAGGCTGATTGCTGCATCCCAGCAAATGCACCAGCTTAAAGTATCCACACCGCTACTTGTCGATAACGGCTTCTCGTCTTTACTCTCACAACTTTCTTGTCAGCCGCCGTGGTCAGTCAGCATGGATCAGGGCTCTTCCATCTGCAGGCGAGATATGTCGCCGAGAGTGTGATGACTATGCGCGAGCATGAACGATATTTGTGATTACGACCGTTTGGGTCACATTTAACTTCAGCCAAGTCGGACACTGTCCTTTGTCCCGAGCAAGCGGATATTTAGTCAGTTGTGGCTCACGTCATCCGCGTGATACCAAACCATCAAACCCTAATCCATCATCGATGACCGCTGTTGGACCTTCTCACAACAGAAGCTTTGAGTCTTGTAATTCCTCAATATTCCGATCCTTTGTATGCTATATTGATAGGACAATGGTCACCCCTTCTCAATGCAATACAGAAAAGTGATATATTCCAAATCAATGGCAGTGTAACAATCCAGTGTCACTGATTCTCAAAGAAACACAGAAGAGGATTTATCTTTTCTTGACAACACAGTCGGCGTCAACAGAAACCCACGGAGACACCGGGTTTTGACAACGATAGCGACGATACCCGGCGCAACAGCATCAGCGACGACACTAGGTGTTGGCAGCAATACCTGGAATTTACAACAAACAATAGCACCTGGTGTTTGTGGCAACCAACGAAGACACCCGGCGTTGACAGCAATCAGTTGAAACACCCACTTTCAATGCGTCTATGAGTCCACGTATGTTTCCATACGGCAAAACAACTTCCTTTATGAAATTAAAAAAAAATCACACTAACGTCACAAAGTCAAAATTACCAACGTTAAACATCCGTATACGACTTTCTATTGTTTCCAGAAAAAATTGTTCAAAGACTTCCTTCAAAATCTCAGAAGCTGTTCAGATCTCGCCAAGAAGGTCCGTCGCTGCCACTGTACAAATAATCATCTCATTGTTATCAATGTCAATTCCTCAGCCGTCAGATTCTACTTGAACCTATATACCCGCAGTCCGTCCTATATTCCTGGTAATGGCCAGCTAGCAGGTGCCCGTGCTGATTGACATGCCAGGAAAGAGATAGTGTCCAAGAGAAGGGCGGGGTCCAATTATGCGCACAAATAACAGTTCAGATTTCACTGGTAAACATTTTGTTATGTTTAAGCGATCGATGACCTATATACATATATAGGACACATCATGACAAGGCGGTTGGTGATCTTTGTGGTCCACTTACATCAACAGTGCCGGTCTGTTCTTGGTAATAAGAAACTTACCCACATTATAAACATTGAAAACGTCAAATGTAGGATGTCTATATATTTATGCTAATAGGCATTGAGTAAGTATCATGCAAGGAATAGGACTTTCACTTTCGTAAAGAACTGTAATATTCAATACCCACTATAGCTGCAGTGTCAATGGACAGAAACCGTTATATCCGCTTGTTATTGAATAAATGATTAAGGCTTACCCTGGCACGTGTAATCTATATTGACTGTCGGTGTAAGTATATCTTAACCTTTGCTATTGACCATTTGATCCCCGTGCTGGCCAGTCGATATCTGTGTTATGACGTGAACGTTTTGACCACGCTGTGAGCAGCAAATGTGTCCGTGCAGATAGCCCTTATATCCCAACAGCGGTGTAACCACCGTCCTTCAACCATTTGTATTAGAAGTTGACATAAAATATCCGTGCAATAACTTGACCATTATATGCCAGTGATGAATTCGTCTCTGTTATATATGGAGGATTATTATCCAAGTCCTGAGAGGTCAATGTCCATGTAATAACGTCACAACTATATCCTCGTCCTGACAGGTCAACGTCCGTGTAATTACTTGACCATTGCAATATATATCCCAGTGCAGAACCGTTAATGTCTGTGTGGTAACTGAATCATTGTATCCAAGTGTTGCACAGTTAATGTCCGTGCGGTAACTTGACCATTGTATCCTACTGCTGAATACGACCGTGTGAAATCTTGACCCCTATATCCTCGTCCTGACAAGTCAACGTCCGTAATATAACTTGACCAGTGCAATGTATATCCCAGTGCTGCACAGTTAATGCCCCCGTGATAACTTGACCATTGTATCCAAGTGCCGCACAATTTATGTCTGCGTGATTACTTGACCATTGTATCCAAATGATGCACAATTAATGTCCTGGAAATACTTGACCATTGTAACCAAGTGATGCACAGTTATTGTCCGTGTGATAACTTGACCAGTATATACCAGTACCATCAAGCGAATATCCATGAACGTAATAAGAAATGTCCACAATAAGATGACTTACATCCCTATATAACATACATTCGAGAAGACCTGCAGTCTAATTCAATTGTAACAGCGAAAACGTGAGTAAATAGCACTGATGTGGCGAACCGAGACTTCGACTTGATCAATGCTATGTCCTTGGGCCAGGTGCACCTCAGTCAGTGGTCACACGACGATTGACATGATTGATTGACGTGTGGTAATCCTCGGCAACATTAGGACCTCACCCTAATATGCTGTTAATCGCACGAAATTCCACCTCTCTCTATACGCGATGGGACAATGGTGTAATATGAATAAGATGGTGTTTCTTCACGATCTCTGGCCTCAACTGTCTTGGCGAGGACAGACTACACATGTTGGACCGTCAAACACAACACGGGCACCTGCCAAACGTTGCTCTCAACGGAATGAGTCTTTCCACCAGATGTAGGATTGCGACTGAGCCCTAGAGTGATTCTCTCCACAAAAGTTCCGGACGTGTTTGATATCCGGCAATGGTTTACCAGTTTCACACATACACATACATATTACTGGTGACTTTAGCTTTTAAATCCAACAGCACGTCCCAATGTAAACCATTAGTTCATGTTTATGCAGATCGATCGAATTCTCCTCCGTGGGAGACGTGTTCAGACAGATTGGTGTCATTTCGTTAAAACCCCAGTCGAAAAGTATTGCTTCCAATTGAACCAACGCTGGCTTTATTTCATTGCCTGTAAACAACCTTCCGGCACAGTCAAACTGTCTACCTAGCATATGTATCCACCGGTCTTTTCTCACTCATCACGTTAGAGACACTATGACGTTCTTTGTGCATGTGCACTGCCTTGAGCAATATTTGACTTCCATTTACAGATTAGTCAAGATGTTTGTAAACCCACTGAAGACTTCACTTCAATCAACGATTGACCACTGATTGGCATCACGAGACGTCCTGGAGCGATTAGGAGGGATGCCCCCGGTCAAAAGGTTACTTCCTCTAAGTCTTGTGTACCACGTGCTGGTGATATACATGTTAAGGGCTGGTGTACACAGTGGTCAACTAATTGATTTGCACTATCATAATGACTTTTAAACCATTGAATATACACTGGAACCGGAAGTAGAGACTACCAATTTTGTAATTCGCGTTCCACTATTAACACTGGTGTTTGTGCAGCATCTTCCACATCCCCTCAAGGCTGCTTCTAGATGGGGGTAATCACCGCCAAACGGTTCGATAGGGAATTAAATTATTCGATCAATCAATTATGCCGTCGTGCAAAACCGACTCCGATGTTGGAATAATCATACCCCTTGTGAATGTTAGGACATGGCTGGACCAGATCCCTGCTCTTGTTCGATTTGACGTGAACACAGATCCTGATTCATGGTTTAATTGTCGATTTAGCAAGACATCTGCTGCGGTGTCGAAGTCCGATAGAACAGGGTGGATTATAATTTAAACGGATGTGGATTATCCCTGGTGAAGATTATCCCTGGGGAAGATTATCTCTGATGAAGATTATCGCGAGTATCAGTAATGAGAGTCTTGTGTCACATATGTCATGCTTCCTTGACACATATAGGTCAAATGTCACTTCCGTCCATGGAAATGACTTCAATGTTTACAGTTGTGTTTTGTCCTGTCCTTACCTTTGACGCAGACTGGTTCGTCTAAGAAGACCATGCATCAAAGGTTAATACCACAGAGGACGACGGGCAAGGTAACTTCCTAACTTCTCACACCCAACTTCCAAAGTTCCATCGCTCTTATCACAGTGAGACGTGCGTCTGTGTGTCACTACGTCAGCATTCCCTGCGCGGCAGTCACGTGGCTCCCCTCGACACTAAGTAGCACTAACTTAATATAGCCATGTCGGGAATGCACGAGCGTCGTTTAGTGTAACGTCGTGACGTTTCTTGAAGCGGAGGTCACAGATTGAGATCGATATAGAATTATATCGACTTGTCTCTCCGACAGCCCTCACCGCCGCCTATGGGCTTACATTGAATGGCAATAATTTCGGCAATTATTAGACGTGATTTGACAACACAAGCCATTGCGAGCTGCAGGTGGTTATAGTCGCCGCCTTGTTAGTTCTAGCTGGTATGGGATGGGAGAGATAGAGACGATAGAGGGGTTATATGATCGCTTTAACGCCGAACCTTAAGAGTTAGAGGTTAATGTGGATAGTGCTGATGTATTGAGAAGTTATATGATATACGTATATCATAAGAAGACTGTGACGTATTGGTGGAACAAAGATGTTTACATTACAGCTTTTTTTAACTGAAGGCATATTAAGTTTGAATTGTTCAAAGGCGTATATGTCACATAGTTTTTTTTACACACACCCAACCTGAAAAAAAAAGAAAAGAAAAAAGCCAAAACAGATCGAACCTACACGCTATCGCTGCACTATCTAAAACATATTAATGATAATAATAACAATAAAAACGATGACGACTACGACGACAACGATAACAATAGCCAAGGGAGTGGGACATAATCTCAATGTCAATGTTGATTTTGTTGATTGTTCTGTACTGCTGGGCGGTACAGAAATGAGTGTCAACCATGCAAAGTACAATATCAAATAAGCCCAGACTCAGTTTTTCAAGGAGAGGCTTTCTGAACGACCACTGCATTAACTTTGTGTGCAGTATGTTGAGAAGCTCAGCAACCCTGCAGAGTTCTTCTCTTGGATGAAGTCGACTGGCCTGAACAGTGAAACCGAATTCTTTCTGTTTGCTTGTTAGGGCCAATCACTACCCACTCGAAAAAGTCAATGTGTGATTTTGCATCAAAATGTAATCATGAAATGAAAATTATGTAATGAATTTAATAAGACTGTCCAACACATTGTGAGTGGATGCCCAGCTTTGGCACAGACACAGTATCTAAAGCGACATGATGGAGTGGCTCGATCATTTTATTTCCGTCTTTGCTATGATTGTGGTTTTGACACAGAGGTCCAGCCATGGTACGACCTGGAATATGAAGAGGGCGTCATGGAAAATGATCAATACAAAATTCTTTGGAATAGGCCCGTATATAGCCTTCGACGTATGCAGACGAACAATCCTGATCTTGTCCTTTTTGATAAATCCAATGAAATCATTTATATCGCTGAATTTTCTGTCCCTTTTGACACTAATGTGATTGACAAGATTGAGGAAAAACAAGACAAATATGCGGACCCCGTGTTTGCTACCAGGAATATAGCCCTTCTGAAAATCAGGGTCTTTTAGAAGGCTGCAGTGTTGGGGAGTCTTCACATTCTCCGAAAAGTTCTGTGTGGGTTTGACAAGGCAGCGCTTCCTGGGAGAAGTCCCATTCGCTGTGGACAGTTCAGAAGGTGCTCAGTTTAACATCAGACACGGTGTTGTCAAGAGTAAGCAAATGTGAGAGGATGATGTTTTA